ATATATATATATCTATATGTTTATTCATATATAAAAATGTTATTATGTTTATTTATTTCCTGAGGACATAAGTCCTGGTAAAGATAATCTCAGTTGAATGGTGTTATCTTTCAGTCTAGCTTTGCATTACTACATGTGTTGTTGTTTTTGTGTGTTTGTCCATTTGGCTTTGGAAACCTCCCTCTTTGTTATCTTTATTTATATTGATCTAGATCATTGAGATTTGGCTATTTATCAATTGATCTATTGATTGATCTAACGAATGATTTAACTGCCAGTGTATTGATCCAATTCAGTGCATGATTCATGTAGGCTTATATACATATATATTTATTTTGGCAGTCAAAAATAAGTTCATCAGCTAGCTATCATTGGTCTATACTCCTACTGTAGAACTATTTACAAATCATCTATGTTTGTACCTAGCATCTATTCACTTACATGTCTAAATGTATAAAAATACTGATGCCTATGTTTCTTCTGTGCGTTGGTTTGTTTGTGTTTGTTTTTCCCAACACCTAAGGTCCTGGCATGTATACATATGGCCCAAGGACATAGGTCCTGGTAAATAACCATATGGCCCAAGGACATAGTCCTGGTAAATATTCATATGTCCCAAGGACATAGGTCCTGGTAAGTATACATATGGCCCAAGGACATAGGTCCTGGCAAATATACATATGATCCAAGGACATAGGTCCTGGTGAGTATATACTTATATGGCCCAAGGACTTAGTCCTGGTAACTATACATATGGCCCAAGGACATAGATCCTGGTAAGTATATATATGGCCCAAGGACACGAGTCCTGGTGAGTATACATATGATCCAAGCACGTAGGTTCTATACATATGGTCCCAGGACATAGGTCCTGGTAAGTATACATATGGTGCCAGGACATAGGTCCTGAAAATATACATCTGGTCCAGTGATATATATGTGTCCTAGTCCTAGTAAAGAAACACATGATTCAACTATACAATACATCCTGGTAGGCACACATATTGTATCATTATGATAGTTGTGGATGGATGTGTACAAATGCATGTGTGTATTCATACCTAACTGTCTTGACTTGATTTGATTTTCATCATGGACTTTGCAAAGTGAAATGGCACAAAACTGTAAAACCTCTACCCCCCTGAAAGAAAGTACATAAACAAAAAACAGCAAGCTATTTTGCAGAACATATTCATGAATAAAGCGCACCAAAAGAACAATATAAAGAAAGATTGATTTTATAGTTCAATCTTTTCTCTAAAGGCTTCTCATTTGGTTATAAGGCACTTTTGTTTAAGGTCCAGGCTGCTGCCTGTGAGCTTAATGACAGTGGAGGCCTTGTCACATGAACCATTAGGCAGAAGGGGCTTGGCTCAATCAAAGACATAGCCAATGTTTGCTAAAACAGCTCTGTTTCCAGGAAACCAGCTATTGTATCAATAAGGTAAGCTATCAATCAGCTAATCCTTCTTGGGAAAAGTGAAAATAATAGTCAAGCCCAAGCCAAATCCAACCTTTCTAGATTCTAGACTTGTAGATTTCACACACAAGGGGTTTCACAGTAGAAGGCAGTGAAAACCAGTTCCAAAAGAAACAAAACAAAAAACTTTTGGATTCCAAGATGCAACAACTGTAAACTCAAGTGAGCTATACACTGCAATTTTGAGTGCACTTTTGGTGAACAAGTTTTTTACTTTAAGTTTGAACCTCAAAGCTGAACATAACACAGCTAGGCTTCTGCTCTCCAGCAATGAGTCTCCCCTGAAAAAAAACTTTTGACTGGCCAGTTTGAAAAAACATTTTTTGGAACCCAGGATTCAAAAACATCAAATGCAAGTCAATGCATGCACGAGAGTGTGTACGTAGTTAAGTTTATCATTTCTTTCTCCCAATTAAAGCTGAGGTCCAAACTCCTGTGAGCAAGGAAAGGGGTCCAGCACAGCAAAGAATGAAGGCTCAAAAAAAACAACAAAAAGGATAAACATGGATAAACACATTCTTCATTAAGACTTGTTGCCACCTGGAAATGGTTGATATTAGGAAAACCTTGAGTTAGGAAACAGGTTTCGTATACAAATATGGTTTCCAGACCCCAGTGAAGTTTAAACAATAACCAGGTGAAACACATCTCAACTGTCACTTCCTCATGAACAAACTGCCACTTCCAAAGGCTATGGATTCAGAGCCTTTGCGCAGATCTAGGTTTGGACTTGGAAGTCGCCATAGAAGGAGACTCCAATGCAGCCAAGGGCACAGTCAATCGAGTTGGATTGGGCAAGGCCAGGCACATCCAAACTCGGCGCCTGTGGTTGCAGGAGAGGGTCGCCGAACGCCACTTGAAAGTGCACCATGTTCCAGGAGTCAAGAACAAGGCTGACGTTCTCACAAAGTCAGTCCCTGGGGTGCAGCTTCGAAAGACGATGGAAGATTTGCAACACATCTTCCTCGGCAAAAGAAGCAAGGGACAGCTGGATGTTTTGGAGTGAGGTCCCTGGCCAAGCTCCACTACCATAGCTGAGAATGGCATAGCAGTGCGAGTGTTTCACTTTGTTTTCTTTGGCTTGCGCAGCAGTACAGTGCTTTGCAAGAGGAGGAGTGTTTGCATGTACAGCCCATAAATACTCCGCTAGTAGAGTGCAGACACGTGACTCACGACGCGTTTTGGCTCAAGACGAAAAGGCGTTCCGCAACGCCGACTTCGTGCTTTCACCATATATATATGCATAAAGCATATCCAATCGAGTATTTTCTGGATTCGGGTACATCATGCACGCCGTCCTGCAAGGCAAACACAAACAGACTACTGTAATATGATTTTGCTTACATGTGCCATAATACCGAGTCTTTGTGATTGAGAATCGGTGTTTTTCTAGATTGATGCAATGTTTTGGTTGATAATCCGGCCAAGAGGTGGGGGGATTTGGGCATGACTGGGTCAATCGGGGTCATTGGTTTGGCAGGTGCTGCCTCTGGTCGTCGGCAGCTTTCAGAGGCCATCGAAACATGTCTACTGTGTATTGATTGTGTGAAGACATGGCCGTCCAAAGTCCGGGCCATACTAGATGTTGGCAATCCCGTGTAGCCGCATCCAGAAATCCGTTTAGTCTGTTGAACCAGCTGAACCCTTTGTCGCTCCAGCCTTGATCCCAGGTGCCTTTAGCAACCCACAGCCAGCGCTTTTTGCGCTATTCAAAGGTGACTTGGCGGTTTCGGCCGTTTTTGGTTCAATTGACCGATCAGTTAAGGAGCGTGTCATGGGTTTTTAGATGCAATGTGATGCAATTTTATTGCACATAGCCATGCTTACAGTTGTGGTTCTGCCAACCCAGAAGCTTTGTTTGACCGTTGTTTGGCTCACTGGTGCCAGTCGATAACAAGAATTAAACATTTCAAACACCATTGACACTCAAATGACGTAGGCTATGGCCCATAGTGGCACTGGCCAATGGTAAAGATTCCGAGACGGAATTCGGGAGGCGAGATGTTGGGACTTGGCGCTTCTGGCGTTGGCGGCGCGGGTCGCCCGTGCAGCCACGGAGGCTCCGGAGGTGAGCGAAAATATGGGAGTGGCCATGTGAGTGTGGACCGTTGAGGAGGTTCTCCTGCTGCAGGTGTTGGAGCAGGAGGAAGGAGAAGCAGAGGAAGCAGAAATAGAAGAGGACTGCACATCACTCAGGGTGCAAGGTTGAGGTTTTCCGGTTTTCTCAATTTGATTTTTAGGGGTAGGGACACGGAGAGAACCCTTGCGGAGAATGAAGGCTGCAGGGTAATCCATGCTAATCCCACGCTGGCTTGTTGCGACACCCAGTGACGCCTATGGGCGTGCGAACGGCTGCACTTGCAAAGGAGATTGCGGAGGTTTCCATGCCGGCTCTAGAATTTGACCCCGAGAGGGCGGAAGGCTCGGCGCAAAAGATTTTCCCACAATAACTGGTGGACTGGGCTGTGCCGTTCTGTTTTTCCTTCATGACTTGGGAATGATTATATAGTTTGAGAACCTTGATCCTAGCTGCAGGTATTGTTGCAGCGGTCAAAGAAGCCAAGAAGCAACAGCTGGGAGCATTGGATTTGCTTCGTGAGCTGGGAGCTTAGCCATGGCAACCGGTCGGGTTCTACAATCCTGAACCATCATGGAATATTATACTTATTCTGACCAGTGACTGTTCACCTCTGAGCTCGGCATGGGCTTTAGTCTGTTGTCGTTTGGAGCGCTACACGCTCGCCTGAAACACGAGCCTTGTGCGTAATCCATTGCTCCCCCATGCAGCCAGTTGGAGGCGGAATCTCATCACAGACGAGGCAAGCACGGTGCAGGCGAGCACGGTGACGTTGAGAGATCATGATTTGTGTGACGGTAGAAGCTACTAGTAACACGGGCATCGCTACTAGGAACAAGTGCATTACTACTAGTAGCAATTAGCAACGTACTAGTAAGACTAGTAGCTTCAACTGTAGTTTTTTTTTTTTCTATTTTTCATTTGCTGCACCCTGCTCCTTGATTCAGTCCTAGGCACCGGTGATTTGAGCATTTAAACATTTAGAGAGTCATGCAGTCATGCAAGGACCAAACCATGAAACAGCAATGGGGGCTTGAGGGTTGGAGTGAGACTCTATAGTCATACAGTCATGACTTGCGCAGCCTCACGTGTTCAGACGGTGATTCCAGAGCAACTGATGGGCATCGCCTGTTGTGTCTGATCTGATGCGGCCAACGCCGTCGACCGAAGCCAGCCAGGCTGGGGTGGACTTCAAGTGCAGAAAGGATTTGCTCGATCAATGCAGAACAAGAAGGATCGGCGTCTCCCTCTCCAAACCGCTATGAAGATCTCATCCACCAGCACCAGCTCGTGAACCTCCGCGCCCTGACCCGCACTCTGCTCAAGGACTTGGGGCTCCGAGTGGCACCAAGGAAGTTCGTCCATGGGGCGATGGAGCGGATGATGCGAGAGCGGGCGGCGGGAGAAGAGCCGCTCGTCCGATTAGGGTGGCATATTTGGAGTATGTGGTGGCGCCGGTGGAGAACCCTCAAGAAGAGCTGGCAGGCTCTTTCTTGAGGGAGTCTGGCTGTAGAGGTCCAGGTCTGGCAGACCGAACGCTGCAAGCAATGCCGCTGCCAAACAGCCGTCATGTGGATCGTTCCTCCGGTGCTGAATTCCATTGCTTCTCTGAGCTGTGTCGTTTGTTAGCGTCCTTCACGGGGCGACAAGTGTTTGGAGTGGTGTCACTCTGCACCAGCACCAGTCCCTGCTTGTCGTGTGTTGGTACCTTTCGGCAGTTCCAAGTGTTGTATCCGGACATCAACATTGATGTGTGTGAGCTGGAGGACTTAGAAGTGGCAGGAAAATCAATTGGTGCTGGTGCCAGGGCTCTCCAACAGATCCACATCAATTTGAGAGACCTGATAGCTTGGCAAATGATTGTGGTTCCTCCTTGCAAAGACCCTCCTTTTCTCCGGAGGCCTTTCGAGCTCTGCGGCTAGCAGGGCTTCACGAAGAGGTGCGTTGCCTTGCTTAACCTGCCTTGAGTTCTGTTTGCTTTGCGCCAAGGTCATGACGCTCTTTGCGAAGATGGAGGACACGACCGTGTCGCCCGAAATCTATGCAGTGACGACCTTAGAGTGCATCAGAGATTGCGAACATGTCAGGCTAAGAGAGGCCTGCCTTTCCCGCAGCCAAGGAGCAGATGGCCTCTTTGGATTCGTTGGGACTGACCCAAGACATTTTCGAGCTCATGGACAGCATGAGGACGGATTGTCACAATGTGAGCATTCCTGCATTCCCTGTGAAGAGTGCATTGCCACAGAATGGACAGGAAGAAGAATGTCACGCCGAACGTCTCCTGCTACAACAGGATCATGAGAATCCATGCCCAAAACAGGCCGGAGTATACGGTGTGACAACTCCTGCCACGCATAATATGTAGTGCACGCACATACATACGTACGTACATACATGGGTTTGGTCTTCTGGTGTCCCGGCCTGTGGTGGGTCCGTTGGACCCGTGAGCCCGTGGAGCCCGTGGAAGGCCCGTGTTGGGCCCATACACCCGCAAAGTCCGTGGGTGGATGGGGCCGGTGTGCATGGAAGCGTTTGCGTGAGACTATTTTTTTGTCGTCCGCGCGCTTGGAGACATGTGATAAGAGCAGCAAAGGAGTCGGACAAATGAGAGCAGTGTGTGAAGAGTTTGCTGGCAGATGTTGTCTAGCTTCCGATCGTTTGACGTTCCGGACAGCGTCAGCTTCGATGTTTTGGTGCGTAATGTTTAGGTAGTATGAAGTAAAGACGCGAGAGAACCTTCAAGGGAAAGGTTGCGAAGACCCTTGAACCCCTTGAGCCCGTCGGGCCATGGAACCTGTGAGTAGGAACACGGAAGCGACGCCTCGCCGGAGCTTCTGACATTGTATTTATTGTAGGCCGAGACAAGATGACATAACTCCTGGCACTGTATCTGGTGGAGTGGAGATGATTAATGGCAGAAAAGACCATACAGCTAAAGCGTGCTCCTTGAACCCGCTGCGCCCGTAGAGCCTGTTGGGTGTGTGGTGCCCGTGGGGCCCGCGACACGCCGGTGCCAGGCGCGTATCAGGCCCGTAGGGCCCCTTGGGCCCGTGGAGCCCTGGGACACACATGCATACAATTGTATACATACAAATACATACAATATATATACAAACATATACAGTACAAACACTTACATAAAGGCCCGCCAAATTGTTTTTGCACGGTGCCACGAATGATGGCTTGCACGTGGTCATTCTACCTCAGAGTCGAAACCTATATCCAGTTGCCATTGGTAGCTATTTATTCAGTAAAGACTGCCCATCGAACGATGCTCTGGTGCACCGGTGCGGCGCAAGGGCAACACGATCTGCTTTCCAACTGCTGGATGACATGCAAGAGAATGCAGTGAAGCCAGATGTGCGATCGGGCTCAGTGGGCCCAGGAGAAGCGACACTTCAGTTGAGATGGTGCAAGAGAGAGATAGATAGATAGATAGGTAGATAGATAATGATAGATAGATAGATAGATCGATCGATCGATCGATAATATATATATATATATGGTACCCCCCCCCAAAAAAAAAAAAAAAACACCCTTTTATTGTTTTTAGCGGTATTTACAGTGAATTCTGCTTATTTTGACGTTGATTTTTTTGAGTACAAGTTTTAGATGATTTTTGCGGTTGGAATTGTTCTAATGGTTTTTTCGTTTTGCATGTAAAAAATATAAGCAAATAAGCTGTAACAATGGATGAAATATGAATTGTATGAATAGACCTCGTTCCCTTTTTCTTCCGGAAAAAAATGTTTATGATATATTTTTTGAACAATGAGGTTTATATATTTGAACAATGTATATATATATATATATACCTACGATACCAACAAGTAGGTTTAGGGGGGTCGAGCAAAAAAAAAAAGCGGTATTTTTTTTCAAAACAAATATATATTTTTTTTTTGTCGCCCCCCCCCCCCCCGGGCCCCCCCCGCCCCCCCCCCCCCCGCGCGATCCGCAGGAGAAATAATACAAAGACTGTATGACAAAAAATATATATAATAATTATGACTGTAAGTCAGTGAAACTCAACTATGGAAATGTTACCGCAGCCAGCCAATCGAACCACATTAAGGAGGAAAGAATGCCGCGTAAGCAATGCAATGGATTCCAAAAGTGGGGGAAAGATCGTTGCATTTGCGCAGAGGCTCCGAAGCTCGCAGAAAGAGAAGAAGATTGAGAAGAAGCACACAGACGTCAGTGCGAAGGTGAGCGAAGCCAGTGTGAAAGATACGTTTTCCGAGAAGCGCGTAGCTTACATGGAAGCTAAGGCGAAGTACATGCAAGCGAAGGTCGAGTATAAGGAAGACAGTAAAAAGAAAAGTGCTTCTCACAACTTCTCCACCAATTGGTGGGGAAGGCGGCCGTGGAAACGTTTTTCCTACAGTCGGCCACAGCAATCCAATGAGTGGACAGCGGCCGACGAATACGCGGCTTGTATAGCTTTTGATGGCGCGAACTGATATGTAATGGCTGCGGTAAAGGTTGTAAAAAAGATAATGCTTATAAGACAGTTAGGGAGTCGGACAAGACAAGAGATGAGCAAGGGGATAGCAAGGGGACAATGAGGAAGCAACTAGGGGACCACGAGGGGACAATCCGGGGACAGCAAGGGGACAATGAGGGGAC